TATATTGTAATTATAATTTAAATTGGACTACTTTTCAAATTGTATTTCATAAAACAACATCTCAGGAAAATGTTAAGGGGTTTCAAATAAAAAAATTACTGTTACAAAACAGGGCATTGATTTCAAACGTGTCCACTGTAGAGGACATCAGGTCTTAAATCATGTTTATCAGGCATTCTGGGAGACACAACAAGTGAATATGGAAATAAATTATACATCAATATTCCTATGAAATATTAGATATTATTATTAAAATGTTGCCAATTATTACTCCAATTATTACCCTTATTTTTTCATTAAATGTTGCTCCAAGAACACATTAATGTGCAAATTAGATAGTGTATAGATACATTGCATTGAATGGGAATATATTAACTTATGGCCATTTTACCCACATATTGCAAAAAGTAAAATGGTGTATCAATTCATTCCATTATTTCTTTCATAACATAGTTGAGAATAATCTTTATACAAATTTTGGTTGAAAAAAACCTGAAACCCCAAAATGTATTGGTGATTGAAAAAAAAATCCCATTGGTTTTGCCTATACATATAATTTCATGTCATTTTATTTTTTAAACAACTTAGTCCTGGCGTCCACTACAGAGGACATAGCATAACGTATGAATAAAATATTATTTTATATATATGTTTTTTTACTATTTGTTTATTGTGCTCTAAACAGTGTGATGACATGTAAAAAAACTAAATTCAAAAAACTTTTTTTCTGGGTCTCAGGAGGATATAATATACATTTTTAATCATATATATAGCAGTGTTGTTTTAGTATTATTTATGTAGGCTACTAGTATAGTCAATATATTCAATTAGTTATATAAAATAGTATTTTATAAGTATTAGCATTATTTTTATTAGCATATTCTGTATAAATGTGTACCATCTAGCCCTGTTGTACACTAATATATATTTTGTACATGCATTTAAACAAGTACACACTACACCTTCATACTCCGTTGTCTATCAGTCTAGCGCACTAGTTTGTGTCAGTCAGTCAGGTGGCCACTGATGTAGTTACCTTTAAATGCGAAGCCCCGCCCACATATGCAAATGAGCTCCATATCCGTCGGCGGAAGCGGCTTGCGTCTGTCAGAGAGATTTCGCCTTTAAAGGCGCATTAAAATAGCGGCTGAAGAACCGAACCCGAGCAGAGAAGCAACACCACAACAGCAACAACAGCTCTGACAGAGAGAAACACACACACAAACACAACCACCAGCACGCGCTGACGTCAGGGTGAGTGTGTTTACGATGTTTCAGTGTTGCGTTCGCGCTGCGGCGCGTCTGATAATGATGATGATGATGATGATGATGGATGTCCTGTGCGGTGTGTTGTCATCCTTCACATCTGATTGTTCAAGCATCTGCAATTCTGTTTTATCCTTGGATTGACATTAGCAGCTGATTGGTTAATGCGGTGTTTTGATTCAAAGCATGCTTCATAAATGTTCTGGATGCGCTAGTTTCCATCAGGAGCGACAGGGTTGAAGGGTTTGAAATTCATAAATGCTGAATACATGTCTGACATTGATATTCAGTGTTAGTCGCTTCTTGCTGGTGCACATGATGTTGACAGTTGCTGGTGCATGATCCATAAGTTGCGTATATGTGGATGAGTGCAGTTGTATAGCTCCAGTTTGAGTGTTTTCCTCGCATCATGTTCAGTAAGTTAGCTGATGTCTAAATGTGAACCTGCTGTTGCAGAGATGATGGATGTGTGTTACACTGTGTGCTTTCTGCTGTCCCGTTCAGTGTCACTGCACCAAATCTCATGATGAGCTTCACAAACTCACGCATTTGCTCTAAATTTCAGTATGTAGATGCAAAAAAACCTAAAAAATGCCAAAAGCACCATGTTTTTTTTAACATGAATTTATCTATCCATCTCTATCCTTTAACAAACAATATAATGATTCACCCATATGGTGTTCCAACCCTTTATTAAAATCATAAGCTGTTTTCTGAATGCCAGAGCTTCTGTTTTCCATGCAACAAAATGTATACTTCATGTGATATTTTACTTTTATTGTGTGTGTTATTGGGCTCTTTCACACTTTGAAAAGGACAAAAACATGACAAAAGTCAAATATAATAATAAAAAACTACTCATTTAAAGGGGTTGTTGCCTTTCCATATGTTTATTTGAATATGCAAACACAATATAAAAGCCAGTGCTCAAGTCAAACTTGGACTGACAAGGCTTTATTTATTTGATGAGCTTTATGACAGCTCTGCGTTCTGTGACGTATTTACTCTTCTCAGAGTGCATTGAAATCGCATGTAAATTGACCTTCGTCTGCATAATATTCAAAGTGTGTGTGTGTGTGTGTGTGTGTGGTTTACTGCAGACTGGTTAGTGTGTTTGGTTAACCCTTGTTTGGACGGTCTTTGCAGGTTCTTCTGTTCATCCAGAGACAGAAGACACGACGCTGCTCTCGTATGCAATCGCACTGGATATTTATGAAGCTTTCAAGGCTTTTTGGTGAGTCACACTGTTTTTTTGCACTGTCATATTCTCTCTGCTTGATTGTTAATATTTATATCATGTTATCCAAGAAAAGTACGTCAAAAAATGTTTCTACTTTTGAATCCTTAGAGTGAGTTGTGAGTGTGTGTGTGTGTATATATATATATATATATATATATATATATATATATATATATATATATATATATATATATATATAAATAAAAATAAAACAATACAATTATTAATAAAACTTATAAATATTCAAATAAATACACATATATATATATATATATATATATATATATTAAAATGAGTTATATATATATATATATATATATATATATATATATATATTCATAATTTTATGTTTTATTTTTTATATTTTTAAATAATTGTATTTTTTTTATTATGCTTTTTTGCCAAAGCGGATTGTGGTCAGTTTTTACCTGTGATGTGGTAAACCTGTCTGTGTTGTGTAATTTGATCTGGTCACGTCAAACACATGATCGGCGTGAAACTAGTAGTTTCAAATGACTTAAACTACCAACTTTAAAGGAGTTAGCTACACAAAAAGTTTATTTTGAAATCTTAGCTGTATTTATCTGGCAAAACTCAGTGAGGTTTTCATCGGGAGACAGGGTTAAACTTTGTTTAAAAACTCCTTGTTTTGGGCTCTTTTGAGGTGCAGTTGAAGCTTATTTCTACAACAAAATAAATCATATATATATATATATATATAAAAAGTTTTTATCTCTCAATTTGGAGTTTTTCCTCAGAATTGTGAGTTTATATCGCAGTTGTAAACAGGATTCTGAGGGGGAAAAGTCAACATTGCGAGGTATAAACTCAGTTTAATTTTTTTTTAATTAGCTTTTTATATTTGCTTGTGTGTCAGACAAAAGCTTCCGTCGAGGTGTTTGTGAATGGTGCTGGTGAAGCGTGTCGGATGAGTTGTGCCTCGAGCTGAATCTGCTACTGAACGCTTCACATCTCTAGACCACGGACGTTTGCATGAATCCAGAACACCTAAACACACATTACTGAGACCTGTTGTCAAATTGTTTTCTTTGCAAATTCCCAAAAAGAGGACATGTACATTCTCAAAAAATAAATAAATAAATAAATAAAGGATCCAAAACGGAGTTTTTGCAGTGAAGCAGAACCACCATTTTTGATTCCCCAAATAACCTTTCAGTGAAAAGTTCTTAAAAGAGACATTTTTTCTAAAAATCTTAAAGTCCCCCTGTAGTCAATTATCGTATCCCATCCCTTTAAACTCATCTTTGATCACCAAAATTAAAAATGCCTTAAAACAGCTTGAATGTAACTCGACACCCTTGCCTCATTTAGTATACGCGGTTCTATGAATATGCAAATGAGCCCCGCCTCCACTCACTCACTCACTCAGCTCAGAGATCCACTGGTTGACGATCACACGTTGATCTGATTGGTTACGAGGTCGTTTGTGACGTCAGAAACACCAGCGATTGTGTTTTTGAGACTGTCTTTGGTTCACTGCAGGAGAAAATACTCACCAATGCTGTCGACTTATGAATTTACTGTACACATGGTTTGTCTTAAAGCATATTAAAAACACCACATAGACGCATTTAACATTTAAAAGCTGGATTTTCACCACAGGGGAACTTTAAGAACCTTTATTTTTAAGAGTGTATTGTGTTCAGTTTGTGCGTATTACATTCGTGTGTCTACTGTTATCGTCTTTATTTTATTTGTGTCGTCTTTCCTGTCATGCGTTATTAAAGGTTCTACAGAAGGGCATGAACAAAACACACACATCAACATATACACTGATTAATCTTTACGAGTAGGTGATGACTGTAGACATGGACACGTGTGACTCTCTCTCCGGCACAAGTGGAAGCTCATACTCATTATGTCACAGATGGTGTACTTCGTTTAACCGGTGATGTCGTTTGCTTGAGGACAGAGTAACATTGTGACGAGTGTTAGTTTTTAGTGGAATAGTTTTAGAATGGTTTGCTTATATTTTGTTACATTTGGGATACAAGAAAGCATTGTTACAGCAAATGAATGTGCACATATCAGATTTAGGCATTTAGGCACGGGAAGGTCGCGTTACAATGCACACCCAACTTTTTATTTAAAAAAAAAAACGATTTTATGAGTAAGTCTTTGTGTGTTTTAGCACAGCTAGAATGCCGTGTTGACCAATCAGAGCCGAGTATCTTTTTTATAATGCAGTGTTATTTTGAATGCGCCTTCGTGAGAGTTGTATTTCTCCAGGCCGTTTGATGTGCGACTGGATTCAGTGGAGCTCATGAATGCAGTGTGTTCTTCTGGCTCAACACAAGGACAGTAGCGCAGAGCTTCGGTGACTGTTGCATAAGATCTTTATTTAGTAAAAGCCTCTCGACACTGAGGACCTCTCAGTCCAGGACCGGCACTCGAGAGCTCTGCGGTTTCATCGGTGTGATTTAAAGCGTGATAAAGTAACACATGCTTTTTGTCTCCACATTGTTTTGTTTTTTCTATTTTGATTAAAATCGTTTCTAATGATTTATTTAATAACTAATGGTTATTATCAGGGCATGACATGGACACTGGACATTAACTGGGTTTAAGCAGTGGCGTGTAACGCACTCACTCCTTCTAGACACTTTGGCGGGTTGAATTTTATATATATATTTTTCAGTTGTAGTCTTTTAAAAATGCATCTGAAATAATAGTGCAATGTAGTGTTGTACCAGCGTCTCTCTCTCTCTCTCTCTCTCTCGCTCTCTCTCTCTCTCTCTTTGTGTGTTTGGTTAAATCACTTTTGGTTAAATCTACTTAAAATATAATTTAGAAATATAATTTAATTAAGATTTGGTGTAGTTACGGAGCATTGTGTGTTGTTTCTGAAGATGATTTAGTTTTTTCTTTGTAGTTTTTTTCCCCCTCATTCCTCTTTTGTTAACGGTTTTTTGTCTTTGTTATTGAGTTTTGTGTGTTGGTTTAAGGTGTGTTAATTCATTTTGTTTGTTTCTATTGTAAAAGTTGTGTGAATTATTGTGAATAAAGTTCTTGTTTCATTTGCTCCGGATGAATATTGTTGCTGTTACAGGGCTTGAATTTCAGCGTGGGGTTGAGTTTAATGCGCTTGATTTTACTCATTCCCGCAGATTTTGTGCTCAAACACCTAAATTGCACGCACGTAAATGCCTTAATTCAGTTATTAGTCGCTGCTTATTACACTTAAACAGTCAAATACACACAAAATAATGTCAAAATGCCGGTCTTGGCGAGTGTTCACATAAACCGTGCGTCAGGTCTTAAAGTGACAGCAGCCTAATAAACCTGCAGCCAAACTATGAGATAATATTAAAAATATCTATATGGCAGTTTTTCCCATGGATTCGATGTCATAGTTTTGGCCAGTGAAACTGCTGAGTGCCGAGTAACTTTGGAAAACCACTAGCCACAGTGGCGGGTGATCAAAAAAGTTATTATTATTATTTCATGCACAAGATGCATTACGAATGTATGGTTCTGGGTCATTTCTAGGGCTTTCAAGAAAGTCTCTGTGATTATTCTGGTTTCTAGGTATGTCTTGCAAGTTTTTTATTTTTATTTTTTAGGCCTTACTATTTTTGACTATTTTTCGACGTGTGCTTGTCATAAGGTGTTAATAGAGGACGATCACAGATATTGCACAATCGCAGGTTGAGCTAGTGCGATTCCCCAGAGACAGCAGGACGATCGTGGGAAAGCATTGAAAACCCCTTCCTTCGTCCTTCACCCTCCTCCTCCTCAGTTCATCAGCTTAAACGTCAGATAGAGACGCCAGAGAAGAGCTCAGACTCACAGGGCGTTTAGTATCATAAGTCTTCACGTGTTTCTGATGTACAGGTTGTTCAGTGCTCTGGACTCTCCCATATTATTCTGCTCATGATGTGCTTTGTTTGCAGAGCTCATTGTTTTATTTGCAACGATGTTGTAATTGTCAAAACTTGTTGCCTGTCGACTTGGATAACTGGTTTCATGAGTTGATAAAAGGAAACGTCTTGTCATTTGTTCACGCATTGTTATGAGATTATGTGGTGTTTGTAATGGTGTAGGAACGCTCTGAGGTTACTAAGCTGTTGTGTGTTCGTGAACACGCCTCTATTGTGTGGCGTTTTAGCCCTTACTGTTGTGTGTGTGTGTGTGGTCGAGTCTCCAGGTGAGTTTCTCAGCTCGCCGCTCGGAGAGAGTTGGCTTCGGCTCAAGAACAACATTAACTCGAGAGCCAGACAGATCCTCCCTGCGTCTGCACTGTCCGTCTGTCCAGAAAGTGTGTAAAGCTCGGGTCACTGCTGCTCTAATGTCAGATTTCTGTTTGGGGTGTTGGATATCGTCTCCAGAATTATCATTTTTGTACGTTTGTTCAGGGCCGTTGCTTATTTACAACCTGGGACAATTCAGTGTGAAGAAAAAACACTTGATGCCTTCACTTTGTTAATTAGGTGATTTTGGTTTTTCATTGACTTAAAATGAATAGCTTTCTGTGAATCCTAGTAAACTGCTTTGCTTTGCTTTTTATTTGGTGTGTGTGTGCGTGATTATCATTTATTTGTTAAATTTGGCTATATATATATATATATATAATATTTTAATTTTAAAAGTTTTAGTAATTTTAATTTGGTTATGTGTATATTTACCCATGACCGAGACATGACCGAGACAGAGACATGACCGAGACAGAGACATGACCGAGACAGAGACATGACCGAGACAGAGACATGACCGAGACAGAGACATGACCGAGACAGAGACATGACCGAGACAGAGACATGACCGAGACAGAGACATGACCGAGACAGAGACATGACCGAGACAGAGACATGACCGAGACAGAGACATGACCGAGACATGACCGAGACATGACCGAGACATGACCGAGACAGAGACATGACCGAGACAGAGACATGACCGAGACAGAGACATGACCGAGACAGAGACATGACCGAGACAGAGACATGACCGAGACAGAGACATGACCGAGACAG